CTTCAGTTTCTTGTGTCTGGAGTGAAGCAACACTGGCAGCAGCTGCCAACACTAAGCAACTACATGTTCCTGGAGAGCTCCTTGTGCTCAGAGTCAAGAGTTGCACACTGTCCACATTTTTCTATATATTAATACACTGAATGCACCACGCAGCTGAAAGTTTTATCTTTTTTTGACTTGTCAGACAATATTACTGTGTAGACCTGGAAGGATGAGCAATAAAACAATCCAACAATACTGAATGCAAAAAAATTTAAAAAATTAAATGACGTTTTCCACTCAACATAACTGTTTTTTCTATCGTTTGAGCAGATCAGCAGTTATTCATACTGCACCACACCATTAGTCCATATTTTCTGAATGTCAATGAATGCATGTACCCTTATGGCACTCTACCCTAGTCCCATTCCTATAACAGCTAGTACAGTCTTGTACATTAACCCATTGGCTTTCAGTGTTATCCCCAACACAAAAAACCTTAGGTCCTTCACCACCACTAAGTTAATTACAATTTATTTTACATCTGTCATGACAAAAACCTGATCCATAAAGGCAACAAGACAAGGGAAGCAAAGGTTCTGAATAGTGGTATGTGGTAAGAATTATCACGCCCATTTAGAGAGGGGAAAGCAAAGTTGAAGCAAGTTGGTAGCAGAACCTGCACCTGAACTCAAGCTCTTGCAGTTCCCAACCACATGTTCACTCCCTCAAATCCACCCTCCCTCTATAAAGAATTGCACAGTACATGGGTCTCATGTTTGCAAATTCTTCAAGACTTCTCAAGGGGGGCAAAGTGACTTAGAAGCCTGAGGGCTTGTATAAATGGTGACATTTAGTGTCATAGATACTATTATAGATACTCCAGTAATATACCACTTGTAGATACATTTGGGGGATTCAGAATACCATTTTTCAATTGTATTGGTATAGTTGTGTCAGTACATTTTCCCCTGCAGATGAGTCCTCAGTTCTGTTTTCACAAGCAGTTTATTCACTCCGGAGCCCAATTTCAGGGAAAGTTGACAAGACTTACTCTCATAAAGTCATCTGGCACTTCTGAAGTTCTTACCTAAATTAGCAAGGAATGAAACTGAGACATAGATCATTCTTCCATGTCCGCAGTTCCTAGTATGACCCACTTACAAGTTTCTTTGCAAGGAACAAAAAGTCAGCTTCTTGCAACCAAGGAGTTAATTAATAAGAGTGGAAAGAGAAGCACGTGGATGTTGGCATAAGGCAGACAGGACCACAAAAGATGTGGAGCTTGGGAAAGAAATAATCCATAAAACCGAACCAAAAGGCCACATTCTTATGCAAAACCAGACTTCCTGTTCCCATTCCACATTTTTTGCCCTCTTTTGAAATAAAACCCTTGACAGATTGTCTGACTCAACAATGGAAAGGTGCAAGCACAGTCTAAACAGTCACTCATGTTTGTGCCATTAGCTGAAGCCAAATTCACACTGGCCCTGGTTTCCCCTGCCAGAAACACAAGGTCAATATGAACATTTAAAAAGAAAGCTGGTTCTCAACATTCAGCAATGTTTTTTAAAGCTGTGAAAGGGAAAGCTTTCTTATGCTGTATGGGGAAAGAGAAAGTCTTTCAGCTGCTGCAAGAATTACCTTAAAAGCATTTCAATTGCAGCAGGAAGAGTTAATGAAACTGTCCTTTCAACCCAGGAAACTGAGGGTTCAAATCCCGCCTTAGTTCACAATAAAAGGAGGTTGTTGTGTTTGTCCTGGTGCCAGTGAAAATTAACCCACATTAGAAAATGACTACATTATTTGGCACACTGGCTAGATACAAGTAAAAAGCACCCAAGACTTCAACAGCAGAGTTTTTTAGTCACAGACTGAGCTTCACTGGCAAGAACCATATGTATTTAAGAAGGTTACACTTAGCATCATCATTGCTGGACTCCAAACAGTAATGTTACTCCCTCAATTTTTAAAAAAAAGCCAAATTTCCTGATTAATAAAAAAATAAAACTTTTCCAACACATTGTATAAGTTCCAAATGACCAACCTGAAATATGCACCTACAGTTATACAGTTATCGATGATAGGAGGACAATAACTAAAGTAGAAGCTAAGTAATCCTCAACTGTGTCATATCAGAATTAACACTTTAGAAGAAGTGCAGGGAGGAATTCCAGTTTCTTAATAGTAGGGAACTACCATCTGAGATACTAGATTTATTTCCTCTCATCCAAATTACCTAGAAGAACAAACTTCACAAGCCTCCTAGGACAAAGCCTTGCATTTACATTTTCCAAAATTGAACCTAATGCATGAAAACACAAACTCAGCCCAATGAGAAAAATGTCCTAGCATAACTACCTCACGCATCTCTCCATAAAGAGTCAGCACAGAGGGAAGAAGAGACACCATTCATCTTCAGTAGCAGAGAAACAGATTTACTAGTTTAATTTTTAATTTGGCATTTTTCTGTATGGATCACTCCATTTTAATTAACTGAATCTGTGAGCAACCTGCTGGATCAGCAGCAACACAACACATGGCCACACAAGCTAAGTACAGATATTCAGGGGCATTAGGAGGAGGTTAAATCAGATCAAAATGGCTGCCCAATATCAGGTAAATCAGGATGGGCAGGCTAGCAGGGTGTTGGGGAGTCAAGCAAGCTGAAGGGGATTGCAGGTCCACCAGGGGATGGGGGACAGGTGCAACCTGCAGGTGGAGTGGGATCCCCCCAAGTGAGCCTACACCCCCATCCCTCCCCACACCGGGACTTACATGCTCAGCTCCGGTGGTGGTGAACAGTGATAAGAGCAGCTGCACCTGGAATGGCTCATGGGATGGGAGTTGAGAGGGCTTGGGGGGAGGGAAAGCAGCACCCAGGCTGGGGCCAGTGCCTGGGTTTTCCCACCCCAGGGCTGCACAGGGAAATTGTACAGAAGTTCCATGCACCAGTTTGACCTAAACTTAATAAGTTTGATACTACATAGAACCTGGTTCTTTAGCTGTTAGACTGGTTTGTATGCATGGCACTTCTGTACAGTTACAGGTTTAGACTAATTGCTGGTCACTGAGACCTGGTCTGTAGGAGTAAGGTTGGCACCGGGACGAGCTAAGTTTAAGTCAGGCGGACATTTTTAACTTGATTTAACCTCCCCAAATGTCTGTACTTAGCCACAAAGATCTGGCTTTAAGCAAGTATACTGGCACATCAGTGTCCTAAACATGTTACACAAGCACTCTCTTTGGAATGCAGCCCAAGCATAATGGCTGAGCTGACCCTCTACTACATCAGGAATAAACAACAGTCTATGGGTACCATTGACCAGACAGAAAAAGAGAAGACAGTTCTTCAGTGGGTTCCTTCTAATATATATATACGTGCTTCACAAAGGTGCTTAAATATGCATTTAAGTCCCACTGAAGAATGATGTGTAAAACAAGACAAGAGCAAACCTCACAGGCAACTGGAAGGTGATCTGTGGACCAAAAGTCAGTGGATCATCACCTAAGAACTATGGCCCAAACCAATAGAATGAATTACAACAAATATTTCTACATCTCTAGAACTAGCAGAAACCAAAGGAAAATCATACTCATTCATCCACAGCAGATGCAGTTAAAAGACAGATGCAACACAGCCTACCAATGTGGGTACTTCTATGGGCAGGATCACCACAGTATCTTAAACATTAATGCCTTGATTTCCAACACAGCTGCAAAGCAGAAACATATTGCTGTTTCTGTTCTACAAGAGGAAAAATTTAAGCCCGAAGGTGGATTTTGAGAGGTGCTGTGTTGTTGCAGCTCTCATTGACAACAGCTAAATATACGGGCACGCAGCACTTCTGAGAGGTGAGACTGAGAGAAATCAAGTATTTCCCAGACTTTTCCAAGTTGAACTCCTCCCCTCCCCAGGAAAATTAAGCTAGTCATGCCTCCCTGCCATGTGTTATGATAGGCCAACCTAGATATCTTGGATAATTCAACACTTAAGTAGCCATCTGAAAACCTTCAGTCATCCAGAGCCGGTCTACTGTCAAAGAGCTGCTATGGAGCAATAGTTATGGGAATAAAGATTCCAGCAAGATGCGACATATGCTGACAAGGAGTTTTTCTGCTAGCCACACCACCCCCAGAACAAAAGCTACACTAACCAAAGCATTCTTCTGTTGGCATCACTACACCAACACCACAAGTTTTAACTAATTTGCAATGATAGCAGTTGTGTTTACTTTTTTTCCCCATGCTCCTAGCCAGCATAGCTATACCAGCAAAGCTTTGTAGTGCAAAGTTGGCTTCAGAGTAGATTGTGTACAATTTCCAGAGGTGATCTTCTCCCTCCTTCCATGCTCTGATGAGCAGTGAAATGGTTACAAACATGGACATTTAAAGGACCAATGGCATGAGATAGTTCCCACCAAGATTAATGAGATAGTTCACTCCTCACAGTTTGCATTTCAGGATCTCTGCTAGTGCAAGCAGACACTGTTGTAATGCTTTCAAGCATTTCTATACAATCCTAAATTTTAGAACTGTCTTTTAAAAAAGCTGACCCAGTGAAGAACACAAGAGTCTTGTCCATGTCCTGTTGACTCATCCTTCACATCCTCTGTTCCCAGATAAGGGAGCAGGCCCCACATTTTAGGAAACTTTTAAACTCAAAGATATGCCTAAGATCACACAGTAGATTTGTAGCAGAGCTAGAAACTATGCCCAATTTTCCAAATTAGCAGTTCAGTGTCTTAACCAAAATATATCAAACTTCTTTTTAAAAATACCAAAAGTTATGGGGTTAGCTGGCTTCTCTTGATACAGACTTAGATGGGTAGGAGAGGTTTGTGGGGATTTTAATGACCAGTGTAGTTGTTTCTCCAAGTATACATTGACTGTGCCAACCAAGTTGCCTACAAAATCATGACAACTTATCTTCAGCATCTTTACTTTACATCTGTGTGCCTAAATAGCAAAAACAAATTTTTGCCTTTCAACAGAATCAGCACTAGCTAAGGGACACTTACCTGCTTTACAAGTCTTGCCATCATGTTCCAGCTGCACTCCAGTGGGACAGGCACAACTGTAGAAGGGGTCTCTGGGAGACAGAAGGCACAGGTGGGAGCAGCCGCCATTTTTTTCTTCACAGGGAGTATGAACTTCAAGAAATCAAGAGAACCAACATTTACTTTTTTTTATTTCTAAAGCTGCAAGTCCCACTCAAATATTACCTCCTGCAATCCCCTCCCAAGAAGGAGATCACCACTCCTACCTATTTGTCACCAGCCGAAAAGATAAGAGTTTTCAGAAGTGGCTAGTGATCTTGGGTGCTCGACTTGAGATGCATTAAAAAGGGCCCAATCCTCAGAGGACAGATGCTCACGCCTTCTTTGATGCACCTCAGGCTGGGCACTAAAAACTTGAGACTCCTCAAATCACTAGTTGGCCCTTGTCTATGTTACCACATCCCCACAACATCCCAATACTAGATGAAAGTGTTTTCTGCTGATGGGGGAAGCTGGGGTGGTTCTGGGAGCAGCCAAACATCTATACCGAGGAGCCTGGCTGTGATAACATAGGCATCCTTCTTAAAGTGGCAGCAGCCCCCACAGTGTAGATCTAGCCGAAGACAACATTTTCCTGCTACCAAGCAACAAGAAAATCACTAGTTTTTATTGGGGAGGGAAAGGGAGTTTACTACATTGGATACTACAGCTTCTAAAGGTTTAACATTCTAGGATTTCCATGTATGTGATTCATGGGAGGAAAGGAGGAGAAGGAAGAACAGAGCAAAAATTAACTCTTTCACTTTTCAGAGAAAGGACTAAAAATGTCTTCCCCTTTTTCCTCCTACCTCTTTTTAAAGTCAGTTTTGAAAATGCAAATGCAATACATTTGAAATAGGAAAAAGCAAGACTACAAGGGAAGAAACTACTCAATTAAATCATCCCTGAGAATACTGACACATTTGATGGATTGCAAGCTTTCCCTGACTACCCAAACTCCACACCACATATATGTATTGTAACTATGTACAGTTTAATCCCCAATCCAATTAAATGGGGGGTTTGTTTTGGTTTTTTTAAAGGACTATTAATAAAAACCTGGGATGGCTTGCTGTGTATGTGTGTGTACTGCCTTCCACTGAGAGCCACAAGAAAGAAAAATCATGAGGAGGCGGCATCTGAACTTGATCCTAGTGAAGTCAATGGCATCTGAATCATTTTCAGCAGATGCTCTTTCCCCAAGTACCATGTTTTCCTTGCTACTGGCCTAGAAATACTATGACCCAAGAGTGGGACATTCCCTCAGCTAAGAGAAATGACAAGAATCCAGCACACACAACACACTCCCATCTGGAGCTCCAGGACAAGCTGTGGTACAGCACATACCTGACAACCTCCATTGAAATCTTACACCTGTTTCTCAACTAAACAGATACCAAATTCCTGTTATTTACTTGAAGCCTGTTTACTGCCAACCTAAACTTTCCTTTAAAAAAACCCCACAGAAAACAGTGCTGCCTTCAGGAAACAAGCCTTACAGTTTGGTTAAATTAAAGAGCAAACCCAAAAGGCAGAGATTCTGCTGAGTGAGACATGATACTTATCCCCAGGGCTGAATTACACACATATTTCTGCTCTGTTCTGATTCAATCTGTATCCTCTGTATCCCTCTCACCTCCTCCCCATAGGCTCCCTGCAACTACCATCCTCAGAACACGCACACAGACATACAGACCCTGGAGCATGGTCCTATTGATACTGATATGGTAGCAGTAAGTATAATATTCTGCATGATATGCCCACTGATTTCAATTTTTTTTTTTACCATGAGGACTACAGTGCTTTATCTTATTGTTTTTAAATTACATATTAAGCATAAAAAGATATTTTATTTACCTCCAAATACCTGGTCAAAAATGTGAATTGGCCATAGCATTAAATGAGTATAGTGGTCTCACCAAAAAGGTTCTGTATATGTTAGGCACTTAATGTAAGATAAAAAATTTAGACAAGCCTCACTTAACACCAGGGATTTTTAACAACTTGGGGGCTATTTAGAGGCCTGTCTATATTAGCACTCTCAAACACCATTATACTGACTAGTAGTGAGTGGGAAATGTTAGAAAAGTTAGAACAGACAGGCTCCTTGGTCAGTCAGTATGAATGGAAGTAAGCATTTTCCAAAACATGTTAACTAATCCCGGTTGGTCATCCTCACACCAGCCAGCCAAAATGTTTTAAAAACTGCTAAAGCAGTAGTCATGTTTGAAACAAGTTTAAAGCAGGAGAATAAGATAGTGAGTTTTACTTAAACATCAAAGGAGCAAAACCAAAAGTTTTGGACTTTTCCTTTGCAGATCCTATTATACCAATTTATTCTCCTAAGATTTTTCTGCAGTAAATTAAATTAAGCTTAACCCTCTTTTATGGTGGGGATAACAAGGAGTAAAAAGCAGTCTGTCCAAAACTACCTAGCAAGACCTAGAAGATTAGAACCTGGGGAGCTCTCCTCTTCAGTTCCACATTCAATCCAGGGGGCTATGATGCCAGAAGTTAAAAGTAATTTCTATCATAGCTGCTCTTTGGCACTAGCCACTGATGCGACCTCAAACATAGGCTCCCTTTTAAGGTTCTTAATGTTAAGAGCATGATGGGCTGAATAATATGCTTCTTTCACTGAACTGAATGAAGTCAGTAGGAATCAGACCCACACCAAGACTGATGGACTGGGCCCAGATCATTGATTAGCTTCTGTGCCAACAAGTTGACATTACCATGACCTACCTTGCTGGTGACATTTCTCTTTCACAGGGCCCAATTCTAGAAGGGTATTTAAGAACATATGTAACAAAACAGAATCAGTTCCACTGAGTTTGGCACCTAACTTTTCTTAGGCATCTTTAGAGCTGCAAGACCTCATTCAGACTAAATGTTTCTCCAATTAACATTTTTGCTTCACAAAAAAACAAACCACAACACTTATATAGTATATAAAGGAATTTCAGGACAATGTGAAACATACAGTATGGCTGTCGCTCTGGACTCAAGACCTGGATGTCCATTGGGGAGTAAAGTGCACTCAATATTTCTCTCCTTTTTTCTCCAGTCCTTTTGTTACAGGCATGAATGGAGCGAGTCTGCCAATCTGTCCAATACAGCGTGTCCCCAGACAAGGTCAGCGCAAACGGATGAGTGAGACTACCTTCAACAACCTTTTGCCTAGATTTATGAAAGAGAACAAACATTAGCATACATACATTCTCTAAATCACCACAGAAGTAGGATTTTGAAATAAAACAATTTGCCCACAGTTCAGTGAAATTATCTGAAGGTACAACTGATGAATACTTTCTGGGAAAATCCAGAGAAATTAAGCCAGGGTGGATATATACAACTGATGTGCTCTTGAGGTAGAAGGTGGAATATTTTCATAAAATATTTCATGGAGAACCTTTCGTTTCAGTTCTAAATAAATTCACACAAACTCTTGCGCTTTATAAACAGCCACAACTGTTGATCTTTCATCCGTTTGTTTTTTTCCAGCTCCACCCCAAGAAGACATTCATCTCATTTTAACCATGTTTACTGTGGGAGAGAAGGAAGGGAAAGACATTTCCAAAAATCTTAGAGAGACTAATATCAAACTGTGCACAAAGCAAGCACAAATGTAAAAAACAGCCATTTGCTTCCATTTAAGCATGCATATATATTTTAGTGACTACAATGTATGCTGTGTAAATATAGTCAGATTCCATAACAGAGAACACCTTACACATGTGTGTAAGAAAGCTTTGCAGAATTTAGAAATGTAAAGTTAGACTTTCTTCGACTGCTTCATAGCTGTCAAACTGGGAATCTGCCAGACAATCAGGAAACAAATATATTGTGTTTCATAGCAACAAGATATCCAATTCAGCTACAAACTGACCCCTGGAAGGCCACACCAATGTTCTTTAATGCAAGCAAACAAATGGCTGATTACGACCGTCTCCAAGATGGAACACAGACTACAGAATACTTCTCCTCATTAAAATGCTAATTATTTTGTCCACTCATATGTCTGGTATCTTTGTCCAGGTTTGTCCCATACGATTTCAGCTCTTTTGTCTCTTTATGGAGCCAACGTTTTCTGCACCATACTGAAGAAGTGACTGAAGCAAAAGCATAGACGTTTCCTTTTTTTAAGTTCTCTCACAATGTAACTTCCACCTCAAGTATCGTTTATTACATCTCAACAACAATTTTTTTTTGATTGACATACACTGAACCACATGAGTCAAGGCCTACTTCCTGCGTGATATTCTGGGGTGCTAATGGAGGCACGTATTTAATAAATCAAATATCCACATCCGCAGTGGGATCCAAAGGATAAATCAACCAGTATGTTTAAAAATTTAACAGAACAATCTAACAGAGCTTCAGTAATTTCTTATTCTCCTCCTAAATAGAACCATGTCCCTGAGAATAAAATTTTTCATGCGGCATTGCTGTTAAGCCATTTCCAGTAAGAACAGCTATCAGAGTTCTGTATGCCTTTTTCCCCCTCTGTATGTTATGGGGGAATTGGAACCTGGAGTGGCCTTGAGCAACAGGTTTTGAGGACTTTTAATCTTTAATTTGATATAATGCACATGCTCATGCCTCCAACAGAGATGTAATCATTTACTTTTTCACGAAACTTTGCAAGTTTTCAATGGGCCTGAACCAGAACCCCCATTCCTTTTCAAAACCTCATTCACCTCCACGTGGCTCTCCACAAAGGCAAGCATACAAAACTACATGTAGTTTTGCACTGCAGGAACTGGATCTCATTTGCAATTGACTTTTTCATTCTACAGTACTTTTCTGTACACTGCAGTTAGTTTGTCACTTGTTGGATTGATTCCATGTTATTTTCTATTATTCTTTATCTCAGGTCCAACATTATAAATCAAACATCACAATAAGATATATTCCCTCTTTAAAATCACATTTTTTGGAAGTGTGTCACTATCATTTAGGATAAGCAGTCATTGAATGTAATTTCACAACAAGCTTTTGTACAGGGGATTCTAAAGATTATGCACAGGACAATAACCTGGTGCAGTTCAAAGCAATTTGAGGCAATGAGACATTTTAATGGTTAGTGAAAGCAAGTATGACAATTTTTTAGTTTGTTAAAACAATCTTATTTGTTTTTTCACACTAGAAACAAATGCTCTGCTCAAACAAGGAAAAAAAATACATCTTCCACATCAAAGGGTTGGCTATATTCATTCAAAGACTTTGAAAGTTCATAGAAATGACAATATCCCCAAGGAAGGGAAGCAAAAAATAAAATACTTTCTTGTAACTATTAAGCAGACTTCATTTTCACTCCTCTTATGGAGAAAGAAGAAAGTAGGAAGAAAGGGTAACATGGACTGAAGATAATGTTATTTTAATTTTATCAACATGGTGCAATATTGTCATAACTGACCTGAAAAATAACACCCACAAGTTTTTCACGTACATCTATTGACAGATGCATAGATCATTTTTATGCACATACACCAAGCAGACGCCTTCCAGATTTACATGTGCAAATAATTATTTGCATATGTACATTCAAAGCTGACTACATACAAATTCTTGTTTGTGCAGTTTGGAGACAGAGTTAAGGCTGCTTTCAAAAATCTGGGCCTGGGAACATCCAGATGATTGCTCAAAGTAATAAATGACTAAACGAAAAAATAAAAACTCATCTTCAGTATCTTTAACTTTCTTTCCCATCTCCTGGCTTGCGTGCCTTTCCTAATAAAAGTGATGGGTGAATTTATGTGACTTTCTAGTCTTGGAGTCTTTGTTTCTAACTATTAACTGTCCTTGCTTTTATTATTTCCATCTCTCTTACACATCAGGTCCCGTTCTCCCCCCCCTTAATTACATGCTTTGGAACTTTTGAAAGAGTTCCAGCTGACTTACTTTCAAACTCAAGCTTACTAACACATAAACAGATTGCTGCAGTAATTTTAATCCACTATAGAGAACGCAAATTTCTGGTTTATTTGAATTCTAAAGTGACAGAGCCCGAGGGGAGACAGAAAGGATTTGTGGTATTGAAGGATTTATTTGTTGAAAAGTTTTAGGTATGATTTATCCGGCTCTGTTAAAAAAGAATAGACATTCAAGCATGAAGAAGCCAAGTTTTTATTTCAATTGTGATTGTAAAGTTATTTCCAGATTTGAACTGCACTATAAACCTACTTCATTATCAAGTGCCAAAGTATTTCACTTTACAGGTTTCTGAACATCAACATTGATTAGTGAGGTGGGAAAAAATAAACAAAAATCCTATTAAAGTTGCACCATGTAAAGATTAAAATCAGTACCTAAGGACCTTGATTAATAACACAAGAGATATGCTGTTATAAGAGGGGAGTTAAATTGCTTCTATGGTATAATAGAACTCCCATATAAGCAACATATTCTGAAGCTACCTCTGTTACACTGTACAATGGCCAAAGCCTCATTGAACTGCACAGGCTCAAGGATTTTCCAGCAGTATACGCTGCACTGGAAGCATCTGACATCTGGGGTGTATTCAGGTTCCCAAATACCAGATAAGAAAGTGTGCAGGACAAGTGAGATTTGAACATTCAGGAAAAACTTGCTCCCTTCTGAATTCTCTCGCTTCCTCTCTTCACGGGATATTAATTAAATCCTACTTATAAATTACTGTCTATATACCCTTACACATACATGACTGGGAGTGAAGACAATGGGAATTCCCTGTGCAAGAGAACTAGAGTATCAGACTCAAAAATCTGAAATATCTAAACTACCTTAAAAAAATTTAAAAGGCTGAGGTTTTGTTAAACTGTATATAAATTCCTGACATACCTATTGTTATAAGAAATGTTTTATTAAAATTGTGAATCGACAAAAAGTCTTTGGTTGGTACCTTATGCCACATCCAAAAACGTTTTCTGACTTGCCTTCACTTTTTATCTATCGTTACCAGGGATCCGGTTTTCTGTTCCCCACGGAAAAACAGAGTAAACAGCGGATTTTACCTTTTACCATAGGCAAACCTGGATTTCTCGTTTTTACCGAAAAAACCTGCGGATTTGCAGTTTTGCAATAAGCTCCCTGCAGGCTGGCAGAGTTCCAGCCTGCATGGAGCTAGAAGGGAGCAGGAGGAGGGCGGTGCCACGTGCATGGACTGGCACATGGCTCTAGGCAGCCTGGAGAGCAGCTCCTGCAGGTAACTAGGGAGGGAGGGAGCTGGGCAAGGCTGGGGCTGGGGCTGCTGCCCAGCCAGGTAGTGCATGGGACTTGGGGCCTGGGGCCACAATGCGCAGCTGCAGGGCCCCAGTGGGGAGTGGGACAGGGCCCTGGGCAGCTCATCTGGGAGAGCGGGGGATGGCTCCCCGCCATGGTGCCCCACGCCCTCCAGATCTGTACATGGGGCAGGCATAGGCTGCAGGTGTGGGCTTCTGCTCAGCTGCCCTCCCCCAGGGCCTTCAGTCTGGTGGGTGCAACCCAGCATGGCAGGGAACAGTGAGGCCATGCAGAGAAGCTGCTCGCCACTGCGAGCTTCGCACTGTCCTGGCGACATGCCCCCTGCATGCGTGGCTGCTTTGAGGGCAGAGGCACAGGGTTGAGCCCCTCAAAGCAGCCATGCACGGGTCCCCCCTGCTCTCCTCGGGAGTCCGTGCCACGGTGGAGCCAGCCACCCCCGCTGCAGCAGGGGGGAGCAGGGGCAGGGGGATGTGGACCTGGATTTGTACCCCTGGAAGCTGGAGGCCCCCTCTGGCAGGTACCTTATGCCACAGGAGCAGGAGCTGTGGTTGGGGTGGGGAGTGGGGGGTGGTGGTAAGGAGCACCAGTAAGGCTGTGGTGGGGGAATGAGAGGCACAAGCCGGGCCGGGGGGGGCCTTTAATTTTAATCACAGATTTTGGCATTATTATTAGAGAATTTCTGATTTTATATCAGGAAAAACCAGGATCTCTGATTATTACTTAATCACAGCATAACTCCAGCAGGTAACAATTTTAAATACTTATTCTCAGTAGAACTCAAAAGTGAGTCAATGCAAAAGAACACAAAGGGAGTCAGTAACATGATCCCTATTTTAAACAACTGAAAACTGAGGCACTTTGGAGTAGAGTTAGTGTAAGATATAGAGTACATTTTATTTTGCATTATACTGGTATGGAGATGCGTAATCCAAAATATCTCTGAATTTTTATCAAGTCAAGTAATTAGTTTCAGAAGAGGAAATTTTAAGTACCTAAAATATACAGATCATCTGCATGGTACAGATGTTGCTGTGATTTCCATTTTGCCTTAGGGGCTTGTTCTCACATAGGGATAGTCACCAACTTGATATCAGGTTCTGTTACGTTCTAACACTCCTCAGCTAATTCCCCCAGGACAGATTATTTTGGATTGGGTGCCATGAGTTCAGCATCCCAAATTGGGCTCTAGGACTAGGAAGTTCAAGTCAGATGATAGAATTTGGAATACTTAGGACTCCTCATATAAAACCACCACAAGTGCACATAGTTTAAAATTTAGCACAACAGATGCACCAAGTCTTGTACACACGTGAAGCATATGTAAAGGGGAAAACTTCAACAGTGTTAATAGGCCATGTTTCTTTTGGGTCGGGGGAGGAGGGGAAGGGAGAAGTCATCCTCAATTTACAAAAAGAACAAACAAAAAGGATTTACTTCCAACATGCTGGGCTCATTACCAGGGTATTTGGGTACCGGCATCAAATTATAACATTTCGTGGGCACTAAAGTTGGAGACTTGAATGATCGGATAAGATACTTTTAAATTATCATATTCAGGTTGCCTCTGGCACCCCAGATGGCAGGAACCACCGCTGTAATGTGGTCAACACGGAGGTAGACACCATTCTAAGACTGAAGCTGATACAGAATATGCAGCAGTTCACTTGCCAAATGACAGGCTTCTTATTGGGAATGCATGATAACATTTGCTCCCAAGATCAGTGCTGGCTGCACACTGAGCTCTGAGTAGAGTTTAAAGTTTTGGCTACGATCTATGAAGACCTAGTTGGCTAATCTAAACCACCACATTTCTTTGTGCCATAATGCCACAACAGGAGTTAAAAGGGATGCTCATGTTAGATATGCCTCATTAATTTTAACTGAATTAACATTACCAAAACATTCTCTGTGAGGACAGTAAAATGCAGCTCACGGTCACCCTTGGTCTGAAATAGCCTGAATTTGGTGACCTTCTGGGGACCCTGCATAAGACGTTTGCTTGACAGGGATGTCAGAATGTGCTTCCCGTAGTGATGGGAGGGTGAAAAGGAGCTTCTGTGGGTGCTTGACTGCTGAGTTCCTGTTGAATTGAAAAAAATCAATGCTGCTGGGGTTTTACTATATCATTAATTACATGGTAGGTGCCTAGGGCCTTGGAAAGGCATCTTTAATTTATTTCAAATATAAATATATGCCTAGAAGAGAAAAAATTATGCTGCAGGGGAAGGCTATAACAACCGGCCTAGCATGGAATGATGATGCAAATATTCCAATTATTCTTTAATTTTAGAAAACTGAACCACCATTTCTAATTGTAGGATTACATACATGTTTACATGAGGAGTGCTAACAATACAGTTAGCAAGATGACAAGGTGTTTACATAGTGTTAGAGGACTAGTGAAAATTAGCATCTGCATAAAATGAGCAGTGTTTTAAAAGAAGACCCATACCCCAACCTGACAGAGACCAAAAGAAACATACCTAAAGGAACCATCCAGATTTGCTCTATGAATGAAACTCAGCTTTGCATCAGCCCAGTACAGTTTCTGCTCCTCAAGATCTATCGTGAGTCCATTAGGCCAATAAATGTCTGAATCAACAATTATTTTCCGTGTGCTGCTATCCATTCCTGCCCGTTCTATTCTGGGTGTTTCACCCCAGTCTGTCCAATACATATACCTAAAAAATAAATAAATAAATAAATAATGTGTTAGGAAGCTAAAGTGATTACTGATGGTTTCAGAAACAGTTGCAGTCTCAGCCTTTTCTGAAACTTAAAAATGTTATTTTTAATATTACTGTAGAGAGGTTTAATCATATAAACAAACATCCCCAAATTATTTAAGAAGTACAGAAATTCAAGCCAAAGTTCCAGAGGCTTCAACAAGTTCCTGTAAAAAAGAGGGCATGTTTCAGAAGTTTTGCATTCCATATGAAATATTACCATTTGCATCCATCTCAGAGCACAAGCTACTTGTCAAAAGCATGAACAATCGTGCACCTTGCTTACATCCTTAGCTATTACAATGGCATGTGTTAACGGCATTTATGCACGCAAGTGATCAAATTAATGTTCAGGTAGTCATGACCGCATGATAACTGCTGTCCTTCTGACAGTCCAGAGGTCCCAAGAGAGAACAAGGGCACGCTTACCTGTATTCTTTTAAATTAATAAAAAATGAATGTAGATTGTGGTGGAGCACCTTTGGGGTTCTCGCCACGTGGTAGGGGCTGCAGTAGGCTGGGGCCCAGCCCAGCAGGAAAGGCAGCCAGGTGAAGCCCCCCAGATCTCATTCTAAGGGGGGAGGTGTGTGGCAGAGCACCTTTTGGGGTTGCTCGCCACTCGAGAGGAGCCTGCTTTGGAGCAGCAGCTGGGGAAACCTTCCTCTGGTACTATTTAAAGGGGGAAGATGTGTGGCAGGGCATTGTGGGTGCCTGCCACTTTAAGACCAGAGCCAAGCAGCCAGCAGGTGCTTGATTAAGGCAGCCATTTTAGATCTCTGGCTGCCTATATAAACAGCTCAGTTCCCTACTGGCTGGCAAAGCAGCAACACTGCCTGGTGGGGAGGTTCCATAACAACCTGGAGGTAAGGGCAGGAGCTGTAGGGGATGGCTAGGAGGCTCCTGGTCCTAGGCACGACCTGAAACTGCACCCTGCTGGGAGTGGGTGGCCTGGTAGGGCTCTCAGTGGTGCAGGAGCCCCCAGGAAGTGCCAGGCCAGTTATCACCCCGGTGAAAGGTGGGTAGGGGCACCTTAACCCTAGCCCTCACCTTTGGGTGGGTTTATGTAACATCGGAGAGAGTGGGGCCAGGCATGGCTATGGCCACCCAAGCCCTGAGGGGTGCAATACCCCAAGGAGGAAGAGTTGGGGCCAGGCATGGCTACAGCCACCTGAGCCCTGTGTGGGGTGCAATACCCTGAGGAAAGGTATTGGGGGCCAGGCACAGCTATGGCCACCTGAGCCCACCAGGGAGGGAAGCCCCATGACCCTGAGTGAGGGGGGCAGTGTAAAGCCCCAAGTGAGGGGGGCAGAGATGGGGAGCCCCAGTGAACGGAGAGAAGAACCAGAGGACTAAGGGCCCAATACATTTTTATACACATAGTGTTGCCCCCGGAAGGGGCCAGAGTAAGCTTAGACCCAGTTGGGCAATTGGCTGGCCACTACCCTGGTGAGGGTCGTGGGAGACGCCCAAAAGATGGTATGTCTGCCACCCAAGGGATGGACTAGCTAAGACTATGGGGCCCACTCCAAGATGGAGCAAGGAAGAATAAGTTGTCGACAGATGTAAGAGACCCTGCCAGAGAGGGTGGAGTGTGTGAGGCCCGACTGAGAGGCGGGCGGTATGAGTATGCGTGAGACTGAGGCCTGACGGCATGGCCCAAGCTTGCTCTGGCTGTAGGCTGGGAGCATATTGTCATCCGGATACCATCTGCGAGGCACGGTCTGCGGTGTACGGCAGGTTCGGAGCCACAGATAGCGTCACCTGGCATCGGGGCAATAAATGGGCAGCCTCCCGCCTAGTTAAGATTGATTAATTAATAAGGTGTGGCAGGCAAGTCGGGTTGCGGGGCGTACCCAAAGCCAAGTAGGGCAACTAGCACTGTGGTTAGTCGGGGAGTCCGACTTCGCCACATAGATACAAAATGAAAGTTACCTCTGATTTTTCCAAGTTTGGTTTGTAACAATTCGTTCCTTCTTTATTCTTGTACGAAGACCAGAGGTCAGAATTCTGCTTTGCCTAACTCAGGAGCTGATATGACTGTATTTACCTGAATCTAAGATGACTTCAAATGTAAGACAACCCTCCCCACCAATAATTACAGTCCATAATGGAAAATTATAACTTTGTGATTTATAAAATTGTAACTTTGCTATCCTTTTACATGTACAGAATCTAATTGGTGGAAGGTCATCTTAAATTCATCCTGCCCACTGCTCTAGTAGAGAAAGCAGTGGTAGAAGGTGGGAGGCCAGATCTTCACCCCTTGTCCCTTCATGCCTGTACCTGTCCCCTGTACCTGTGCCCTCTGCCACTTGCCCCCCCCATGCCTGCCCCCCTGCTACATGCAGGGGCACAGGTGCCTGACCCTCCACCTCCTACAAACTGCCCCTGTTCCACTTTTCAATATGTAGTTAGGTGTGCCATGATATAACATGTCTGCACTGTCCTATGCTGGTATTAATGCCATCTCTGCTCAAGTACCTTATCAGAATCACCCTATAGGGTATGTTATCTAGGTGGCTACAACTCCCTCCACTGCCACTTTAAAATCTCTGTCAAACCGTTTGCAAACAGACCTTGCTCCACCTCTGCAGGCTTACAAGCACCAACTCACAGGGAAAAAAGTTCACGTTGACAACTAGATGGGTAAAGGGATAGCATGAAAAGGCAGGTTTAAAGAGGGATCATACTAGAATACACGTAGTAGATGAATATTAGTGAAGGCATTAAGGAGAGTATGACAGATGACAGGAACTTAAGAATAATAATAAAAAAAAAAAGAAGTCAAAGGCACATACTTCACTAAGGATGAGTTTGTGCTTAAGTACTCAGGTTATAACTGAATTCCTGAGTCAGACTTTCAGGGCCAGGGAAAGTCATTAGGGCCTAAAATGGGATATCTTACAACTGAATTAAAATAGGTCTCAATTACTGTGGGTAGGTTTCCACTTGATACAGGATAGAAATGTACATCTGAAACAGTTAGCCAGAAGGTACTGATGCATGGTAATAATCCCCCTCCTTTCAAACACACATGCACACACACTTTTAACTTGGTCTAATTTGTTCATCTCTCCATCCCCTTATATTTTGATAAGTATGTCCACACTGGTGGTAGGGAGGGAGGGAGAAAGCAGGGTAGAGAGAGAGGTTATATATTCAATGTGGCATCAATTACAGAATAACAAGTTCAGAGAGGAAGTTTGACCTTTTGGTCAGCTGATAATTTGGCTTATGCCCTGAAACATCAGTTAGGATCCCCTCACACTTCTACCTATTGTTACCTCTGAGAACCATTATCTAGGAAGACCACTTTGTGTCACACCCCTGGAAGAGAGATCAGGGGATCATGCCATAGGCCAATGTATTACACAGAAGTGCAGGAAAGAGGACTGAAGGAGGCCATCTAGGATAGCCAGGTGTCTAAATTCATGCTGTTGCAGGCAACCAGAGTTACATAAACTGACCATCTTCCATCTTAAAACTTTTTTGCCTTCATCACTCCTATTAGGAGGCTGTTCCAGAACCCTGCTCCTCTGACAGTTAAAGTCCTCTAATTTCAAACCTACATTTATTCATGACCCAGCCACTACAGCAGTGAGGAAGCAGGGCCCTTGATGAGGGCAGCAGCCCCTGTCAGTGTCACAAAAATGGCTGCCCATCCCTGATTTGCAAGCAAAATCAGCCAGCAGCTGTCTTGAGTTCAATAGAGCCCTACCTATAGATCCAAGTGTAAATTAAATTACTGAAAAGCAAAAACCGAAAGAAAAAACCAATGGCAATATCCTGCATGTACAGTCACGCTATTTAAACCTCACCACTGAAGGGAGAAAACAAGAGGAAGCAAAAATCCCCAATCCTTCCCTAAGAACTGTCCATGAGCAACATCTCCTCCTCCCTACCCCTAATGTCATTAGTTTGCAGCCTTCCCTGAAGATCTACAAATTCAGAGGAAGTGGAACAATCAGCCCCAAAGCCAAGGGGCCCTGATGAAGTGCATTCTACCAGCAGCAGCCTCTTCTTTTATATCAAAGAGGTAGCAGATTGAGTGTCTCTGACCTCAATTTTGGTAGCATTCTATGAAATGATGTGTACTTCCACAGTAGGAACACCTGGCCCATGTATATAACTTTATAGGTGGGGGGAGGAAAGCTGCCACCATTTACTCCACACAGAAAGCCATATGGCTGCAAAAAACAAACAAAAAAAAGTTTAAACAGTAATTTGTAACTAGATTCAAATTCAGTCTTCAGCCATAAGTGTGCAACTTCAGCAGAGTTCAACAGGAGTTGCATAAATCCACAATTCAAGTGGGAGTTCAACACAGACATACCCGACAGCACAACATGGCCCAAGGGTAATAGAAACCTGCAACAAATGTCTGGCAGTGTCTGTGGACACGTACCAAAATAAATTCAACTCAGTCAACAGGCAGAACAATATTCATGTTCAGAGCATTTCTGCAAGGTACTGTTTTTGGTCTGTTGGACACTTGGTCCTTTGGACACTTCATCCTTTGTGTTTATAAACTTGGTATATAAAACATGTCATGTAATACCAAGTTCAATTGTACAGTGCAGTTACTATTATTTTTGTATATCTGCATTAAATATGAATATAAAACGTGAAGTATTAGGAACAGAGGCTCAGAAAACATCTAGCAGGTGCTCTTAAAAAAAGAAATCAATCACATATTTACACAGACCTTATTACCATAATATTGAAGCATTTGTGTAAATGGTACGCTTATTCTTCCAACATCCCTAGGAAATAGGGAAGTGTAGCTGAAAGCATTTTACAAATGGGGACTGAAGCACAGACACATTAGAATGATTGATTAAAATTATAGGGGAAGTCTGAGGAAGAGATGGAAACTGAACCTAGGTCTCTAGAGTCCCAGGCTAATAATGCTCTAACCACTTGGCACCCAGTATAATACCTTGACTGTTCTTTCT